AGGTGCCCTGAAGTCGCCGACGCAAATTTTGAGGAATGTATTTGGAAAAGTATTTGGAGGAGACCAAGCACATTTGGATGTATTTGTATCTTGTATTTAAATACTTTTTTTGGAAATCTAATTAGATTTCTAATTAAATACATTTTTGACGAAGTATTTTCTATTTGTATTTTGATACATATTTGCATGTATTTTGCCCATCCCTGGTTGTCGCCAACCATCACCCTACCCGAGGAAGTGCCTATCTCTGGGCTCCATACGCTGCCTTCGGTAAACACATTGTCATTTTCTCAACTTTACCAACTATGTAGACTCACATTTGACCTGGAAAGCCGTTTAACAGAGTTCTTGCCACTCGGTTAGCTGTCTTTTGCATATATTTGCTTACTTCATGCTCGGAATGACGCAAGTGTGCTTTTTTCTTCTCTTACTAACAATCTGTGGTATGTTTTTCGTTACGCAGGGGACAAGTGCAGGTAGCAAGCCGACAGGGGCCACATTTATCGACCCCAAGCATGCGGTCGACGTAAGCTAACCTTAGTTTCTTTGTGTTGTGTGATGTCGAGCACACGGCTTTTATCCATCTCGCCATGTGTGAACTTACAGGCTGCAGTTGGGTTGTCGCAAACCATCACCCTACCCGAGGAAGTGCCTATCTCTGGGCTCCATACGCTGCCTTCGGTAAACACATTGTCATTTTCTCGACTTTACCAACTATGTAAACTCACATTTGACCTGGAAAGCCGTTTAACAGAGTTCTTGCCACTCGGTTAGCTGTCTTTTGCATATATTTGCTTACTTCATGCTCGGAATGACGCAAGTGTGCTTTTTTCTTCTCTTACTAACAATTTGTGGTATGTTTTTCGTTACGCAGGGGACAAGTGCAGGTAGCAAGCCGACAGGGGCCACATTTATCGACCCCAAGCATGCGGTCGACGTAAGCTAACCTTAGTTTCTTTGTGTTGTGTGATGTCGAGCACACGGCTTTTATCCATCTCGCCATGTGTGAACTTATAGGCTGCATTTGGGTTGTCGCCAACCATCACCCTACCCGAGGAAGTGCCTATCTCTGGGCTCCATACGCTGCCTTCGGTAAACACATTCTCATTTTCTCGACTTTACCAACTATGTAGACTCACATTTGACCTGGAAAGCCGTTTAACAGAGTTCTTGCCACTCGGTTAGCTGTCTTTTGCATATATTTGCTTACTTCATGCTCGGAATGACGCAAGTGTGCTTTTTTCTTCTCTTACTAACAATCTGTGGTATGTTTTTCGTTACGCAGGGGACAAGTGCAGGTAGCAAGCCGACAGCGGCCACATTTATCGACCCCAAGCATGCGGTCGACGTAAGCTAACCTTAGTTTCTTTGTGTTGTGTGATGTCGAGCACACGGCTTTTATCCATCTCGCCATGTGTGAACTTACAGGCTGCAGTTGGGTTGTCGCCAACCATCACCCTACCCGAGGAAGTGCCTATCTCTGGGCTCCATACGCTGCCTTCGGTAAACACATTGTCATTTTCTCGACTTTACCAACTATGTAGACTCACATTTGACCTGGAAAGCCGTTTAACAGAGTTCTTGCCACACGGTTAGCTGTCTTTTGCATATATTTGCTCACTTCATGCTCGGAATGACGCAAGTGTGCTTTTTTCTTCTCTTACTAACAATCTGTGGTATGTTTTTCGTTACGCAGGGGACAAGTGCAGGTAGCAAGCCGACAGGGGCCACATTTATCGACCCCAAGCATGCGGTCGACGTAAGCTAACCTTAGTTTCTTTGTGTTGTGTGATGTCGAGCACACGGCTTTTATCCATCTCGCCATGTGTGAACTTACAGGCTGCAGTTGGGTTGTCGCCAACCATCACCCTACCCGAGGAAGTGCCTATCTCTGGGCTTCATACGCTGCCTTCGGTAAACTCATTGTCATTTTCTCGACTTGACCAACTATGTAGACTCACATTTGACCTGGAAAGCCGTTTCACAGAGTTCTTGCCACTCGGTTAGCTGTCTTTTGCATATATTTGCTTACTTCATGCTCGGAATGACGCAAGTGTGCTTTTTTTCTTCTCTTACTAACAATCTGTGGTATGTTTTTCGTTACGCAGGGGACAAGTGCAGGTAGCAAGCCGACAGCGGCCACATTTATCGACCCCAAGCATGCGGTCGACGTAAGCTAACCTTAGTTTCTTTGTGTTGTGTGATGTCGAGCACACGGCTTTTATCCATCTCGCCATGTGTGAACTTACAGGCTGCAGTTGGGTTGTCGCCAACCATCACCCTACCCGAGGAAGTGCCTATCTCTGGGCTCCATACGCTGCCTTCGGTAAACACAATGTCATTTTCTCGACTTTACCAACTATGTAGACTCACATTTGACCTGGAAAGCCGTTTCACAGAGTTCTTGCCACTCGGTTAGCTGTCTTTTGCATATATTTGCTTACTTCATGCTCGGAATGACGCAAGTGTGCTTTTTTCTTCTCTTACTAACAATCTGTGGTATGTTTTTCGTTACGCAGGGGACAAGTGCAGGTAGCAAGCCGACAGCGGCCACATTTATCGACCCCAAGCATGCGGTCGACGTAAGCTAACCTTAGTTTCTTTGTGTTGTGTGATGTCGAGCACACGGCTTTTATCCATCTCGCCATGTGTGAACTTACAGGCTGCAGTTGGGTTGTCGCCAACCATCACCCTACCCGAGGAAGTGCCTATCTCTGGGCTCCATACGCTGCCTTCGGTAATCACATTGTCATTTTCTCGATTTTACCAACTATGTAGACTCACATTTGACCTGGAAAGCCGTTTCACAGAGTTCTTGCCACTCGGTTAGCTGTCTTTTGCATATATTTGCTTACTTCATGCCCGGAATGACGCAAGTGTGCTTTTTTCTTCTCTTACTAACAATCTGTGGTATGTTTTTCATTACGCAGGGGACAAGTGCAGGTAGCAAGCCGACAGCGGCCACATTTATCGACCCCAAGCATGCGGTCGACGTAAGCTAACCTTAGTTTCTTTGTGTTGTGAGATGTCGAGCACACGGCTTTTATCCGTCTCGCCATGTGTGAACTTACAGGCTGCAGTTGGGTTGTCGCCAACCATCACCCTACCCGAGGAAGGGCCTATCTCTGGGCTCCATACGCTGCCTTCGGTAAACACATTGTCATTTTCTCAACTTTACTAACTATGTAGACTCACATTTGACCTGGAAAGCCGTTTCACAGAGTTCTTGCCACTCGGTTAGCTGTCTTTTGCATATATTTGCTTACTTCATGCTCGGAAGGACGCAAATGTGCTTTTTTCTTCTCTTACTAACAATCTGTGGTATGTTTTTCGTTACGCAGGGGACAAGTACAGGGGTGATAGAGACAGGAGTCACGCTTCTGGACTGTGAGCCAATGAACCTAGTGCGTATTAGAATTTTTCTGTCTAATATGATGCTTTATGCCTCAGTTGTTTGTTGCCATGGTATCATGTCTGGTTCTGTTTTGATTTGCAGGCTATCGAAAAGCTATCTACTGAAGATGCTCAAGCTCAAGCTACGAAAGATCATGAGCCTGGCGTACTCCCTCTGGTAGGCATGTTTTAGTTGGAGTACTCTAAGTACTCTAGAGCAGTGGTTCTCACCAATTGATGTTTCGCGGACCCCTTGTGAATCGGCGAAGATGATGGAGGGCCCCGCTTGTGGTGAGGGGAAGGGAAAGGTATAGGTTAATTATGATAAAGATTTAATAAATGGATATAACTAAGGACTAGCATAAGGTAGACTACTCTTATTCTCATCTACACAAGAAAACTCAACCGAAAATAGGAATGCTTCTTAGTCTGAGAAGAATACAGCTTTTATTGCCTGGCTCGATTGATGAGGCAACGATTCGCGGACCACAAGAATGCCTTTGCGGACCTCCATTTGAGAACCACTGATCTAGAGTAAAAGTGTATTTAGATACCTTTAGAACTATTCTAGACAGCTGATGTCTGACAAAACTCTAACGGTTTATTGTCAAGATAAAATTTTATGAGGCAACATCTTTGAATTCAACATGGGAGCTCACTTATAAGGGTAAAGTTGTGAAAGTAATTTTACTCCTTAAATGCTTCCCATACCTATTTGCTGACATTATGAGCTCTAATTCACTTCTGGAGCTTTCTGAGACCTGTAACTTGACTGCATTGCAAGAAGGTCATAAAAAAAGAGCCGTATTTTAAAAACTTTGTTCGAGTGCAAACTTGCGGCTTCGACTCCCAATAAGAAAATTAAATGTAAGCATCATTCATTACAGCCTACATCAGCTAAAACTCGCCATCTCTGCAGCATAAATGTAGCATAAGCACTTGTGTTGGCACGTGAAACATTCTTGTGTTTAGCCTTTCCGGCTTGACGGTGTCGCAGTTCCGAGAGCGGGGCCAGGGTTTTTGAGGGCGCAACCTGGGTTGCCAGGAGCGGTGCGGTGCTGACTGTTGGTGCTTCAGCTTGTGCTTCAAATGTCCGGGGGTGGGGTACTCGGACACAAACGATCCGGTGGGGGGGGGGGGGGGGGGGGGGCATGAAAGACCATGGGGGGAGAGGGGGGGTACAGCAAATGTCCTGGGGGGGGGGGGTCAAAAGTTTTGGGGGACGAGGTACCCAGACACGAAAGACTGGGGGGGGGGGGGGGGGGGCTCGCTGCTTTACTCGTTCGCTTTCAAAGAAATGCTAGGCTATGAACGTTGCACATAAAAAATACAAACAAGGGAGTCAGTTGTAGACAGGATACACCGTCTCCTATTCTCAACTCCGTTCACGTCGTTTGTGGTTTTTGTTTTGATGTATAACTATAGCAAAGAAACTCTTTTAATAACCGTTTCACTAACATAAATTCCAAGTAGTACAGAAATGAGTCTTATGCTCCAAATCTGCTTTTCAGCGAGGAAGAAAGTCTGCAGCTACGTAGTGGGAACAGCTTGCAGTTGCTTACCACCCGTACAGCAAACCACTACGACTGGGTTGCGACAAATCAGTCGCAGCACGCATGTCACCCTGCGACATCCACTTCTACAGAGGAGTAACACGAAATGTTTTTGATAGTCTGGCCAGCGCTGTAAGAACGCTAGTCAAAACAAGGTCAGCAATGCCCCTGGAAGATGAGCTGCTTCTGACGCTAATGCGGCTTAGACTAGGATTGCTGTATGGCGACCTTGCTCGTAGGTTTGATATTTCTGTGTCGCGTGTGTGCCAGATTTTCAACATGCTACTACGAGCATTAAAAACCGTGATGGAGGATGTCGTTATTTGGCTACCACGGGAGGCAATTCATGACAGCATGCCACAGAGCTTCATAGATACTGGATACCAGAAGACGACATGTATCTTCGACTGCTCCGGGATTACGCTCCAGCGACCTAATCAGCTGATGGCACGAGCCCAAACATATAGTTCATACAAGGCTAATAACACTGTAAACTTTTTAACGGTCATTGCACCCAATGGTCTAATAATGTATGTGTCTCGGGCGTATGGAGGTCGCGCATGTGATAAGCATATTGTGAGAGACTGGTGTGTGCAGGAGTTCTTCCAGCGTGGTGACGAGATCATGGCAGGCCGTGGCTTCACGCTCGACAGCTACCTTGAAGTTCAGGGCGTGAAGCTAAACATGACGGCGTTTACTAAAGGTGACGTCTGCTTGGAAATATACATCTAACATTTCTATAGTTTCTTTTCCACTATATGCCTTACCTAGGGTGCCTTCATGTGCGCTTTGCATAGGGTAATGATATCAAGCCATTTTGTTCCGATTTTTCTTTTTTCGCTATGAGCGCATGTCGTCTCGAGCTCGTAGCTTTGCCTGCGAGCTCGAGGTAGTACAAAGGATGTCGTCACTTTAAGCAAAGCGCACATGAGGGCGCCCGAGCCTTACATAAGTTTCTTTGCCCTAAAATTCACCGCTTGTGCTTGAGTCTGTACGACCTACCATTGCAAGAGGGTTATTCGCTGATCCGGGTAAGCAAACGGAACCAAATGTTCTAAATTCAAACCCGATCGTTGAGGGTCTTGCGCTAGCTCGCAGTTCAGCATCAAAATCTTCGATCGCATGGCGGACAATAACAGGATCAGAAGTAAGGAGGCTGTTTCTAGCTTACTTTTTCACCCTGTTTGGAATGTGCTCACATTATTACTCACCTGCACATGTCTCATGTTATAGGTGAAACTCAGCTGTCAGAGGGTGAAGTAACAAGAACCCGGAGAATTGCATCTGTGCGGATTCATGTTGAAATTGCTATCAACCGTATGAAAACGTACAGGATCCTAAAGTCTGCACTCTGCATCAAATGGAAGCAGACAATAACGAATATGATATTTGTATGTGCCGCCTTATGCAGTCTGAAGCCTCCTCTGATAGCCGAGTAATCACAACCGCTTTTGAATTGTTGAATTGTGTAAACAATTTAATCCATCACTGGAAATTACAATGATTTCCTCCCTGCACCTTCTCTCAAGCTCGGGCAACATCTGGCAGAAATAGAAGCGCTCGAGTCTTGCCAAGTTCTCATTCAGAAATGCTTCATCAAACTTCACGAGTAAAGAAACTTCCTCCTCTGCAGACCAGACATACAGAAAGCAGTTTGGTTTCTGTGCACAGCATGCACAACTGCACTTAACTGTAGAAGCCGGTAGTTTGGGGAAGGAAATATATGCCGTCCTTGATCCTTACATCGTAACCTTCACGTGCAATGTATTCTTTGCAGTTAAGAACGTCGGGGCACTTAATTTCTAAAATGGCATTATGGCTCGTAATGAGGCCATCCGGTGAGGCTGATAACCAAGGGCGACCTTGAGACACCAGAGTTCCCGAGGTGCCAACAGTCAGGCCCGTGACCTCAATGAATTTTTTACGTGCCACTGGTTCATACTTGATGCCGTGTGCGGTTGCTGCATTTCCACGGAATTGCGGATTTACTAGCGTCTGCGACGCGTTTTCAGTAGATGTTTTGGCTAGTTTGGGGATGACACTCTCAGTGGATGCAGTTATCCGAAGCCGCCTTGCCATGTGCCATAACGAGCTATCACTTTGGTGCCTTGTGGCATGCTCCAGTGATTCTACTGCCACCTCTGACAACTGAACAATGCTTGTGTAGAAAGCCTCACACACGACACAGCTCTCGGGGAGTATGTCAACATCCTCATAGCTGCTGTGCAGTGTGCTCTCGTCTGGCTCAGGGTTGGTAGGCTGCGGACGTGGTGCAGCTGTGAGTGTTGAATGCAGCCGGGATCCTGGGGGATAAGCAAAATTATATGGCAACCTTAAACACACTATAAGCCTTGTTCTGACTGACCCCCTTACAAGAGGCTGTTTTCTCTTCATTTCTGAGAATGTGCAAATAACTTGTGTGACCACCCTCAGCTTGTAAGGAAGGTGGGTGGCTACACGCCATTTTTATGTAGATATACTGTGGCACATTTGGAGTGAGTTTTCTCCAAGTGTTTGCATGCAGCTAGGCACTTAGAGGCTTATGGTTTGGTGCCAACAGCAGCACCTGCATATAGCCCCATTGGCACCATATACTGCTGCTAACCAACGAGCTTCTTACAGAAACAATGAAATAAATCCAACTTAAGAATAGCCTGCAAGCATTGCGAATTTTGCCTCCTAGTGAAAAATGTCCGGGGTTATGATTCTCGCATACCAAGACTGTTAAACGGTCACTTTAAAAAGGGTTGATTCATCTTGTTACTGGTTTTGCTGAAAACGAACTTTACATAGTCACATTTAAAATTTTTCAGCCAATAAATCATTGCTGATAAAACCTACAACTGAATTTTTTTCCATTCCAGCTGCTGCATGTGGGCTGACATGACTATGTAAACATACCAGGTATTTGAAATAGCCCAGGCCACCGGGATTCGCTGTGGTGCTTTTCAAGTTCCTTTTTGCTTGTAAATGTGCGCTCTGGTGGTGCAGGTTTCTTGTTGGAGGCCATGTTCTCGACGGTCCTTGTCTGCAGCTTGAAACCAATTGTTTCCAGCAGAGCCGGCACCACATTTCGTTTGGTTCTACGATTCCATGTACTTGTTCTGTCTGCGCAGGCCTCGCCGGTGAGTCCAACAGCCACAGCCATGTCCACTTTCCACAGTATCGCACCAATGTGGCGCCACACCTTGGCTTGACCAGCCATGCAGCTGCACCCAGCGGTGACTACTTCTCTACCTATCCTTGCACACACCCAAGCATTGTGAAATTTACCGCAGGATTGCGATGCTTGGACTTTAGCCTTCAGCAAGGTCAGGTCTGCATCAATTTTGTGAGCCAGGACGCTCCCGACCCACCCACTCTGAAGATAATTCTAGGATTCCAAGCTTTTGTAGGCTTTTACTTCTTGAAGGTCGCGTGCCTTCGAATACAGAAGGTAATAAATAATATTTGGTCCTCTGATTTCAGCCCACTTCTTTATGTCTTCCTCCCATGTGCTTATAACACTTGGATGAAGGTAATGCCGGCCCTCGGCAGATTAGACAGATTGAAAGCTTCGTTATTAAACAAACTCACTTGAGAAATTATGGGAACAGCAAACATTGTCACACTAGAAAACAAATCTGTTAGCAGCCCGTCATTCGTATCAGGCAAAAAGTTAGCTAACATAGCAAAAAAAAATGGAATATTTGAATTAGTTTCTTCCCATAGGCGTAGATGAAGCTTAAAGACGAAATACAACACCTAGTTGAGAGTCTGGGCAGTGTGGGTGTCCTTTTTGAAGAGAAGTGTGTATTTTGTGTGCCGTAATTTTTAGACATGAACAACCAACTCGCCCAAGCTGCAGTATTAACAAAAGCTAAACGGTCCAGTGGGATCTTTGTCTTTTCCAGACTTCGCTCTAGGCATGATTTGTAAAATAAAAGGTTGTGCATTATTTATTGTGACTTTAATATTTTACATTAGTGGCATTGTCTTAATTTTATCTACAAACGCCACCCATGGCGTTTTGCCATACCCTCCTCCTCCCCCCCCCCCACCCCCCCCACTCCCCCCCGAAACAAAATCCTGGCCATGTGCCTTTAGTAAACAATGCAGGGGCGGTGTCGAGCTGACACCCTGCAACCTTCCAAACACATCCAATGCCAGAGCGCACACAGGTGCAAATAAAATATCAATTTTGAATGCCGAAGCAAGTGCCTGAAACTAATGAATCATCAATTTTTGCTTGCACTGGGCCTATTTCAATGTAGCCGCTTTTAGTAATCAACAAGCAATACACGACAGGGGGACCCTCAATTTACTTTTGTAAGCACCCGGAGCTGCCACCGATCGTTTTGCTGCGCTGCTTTTATCTTGCGTGTCCATGTTCTTATATTTCCTTGTGAATGAACGCGCGACGAAGGCCTTCTAGATGTACTTATCTGGAACCGCAGAAAGCCTCAAAGCAGCCACGAAATACTTTACTTTTTGGTGCAATATTTTGAATACTCACTTCCAATTTATATCGCTGGCGCGGTCGCTGCCGCTGTTGCCCTCGTCGCCGCACTGGCCGATGCCATGACTCAAAGAAAGAAACGTGCTCACTAGGCTCGAAAACGCAGTTCCCAACACCGAGACGTATTCTGCAGCGAATATCCAGCGCTTTAAAGCGCCCGATCAACAAAACAACGAACCAGTGGTACTCCAACGAGCGCTTTTGCCGTCAGTCAGAGTGGAAATCAAAGGAAGTGTTGCTATTTTGCCGGCTCTGGTACCGCGCAGGAGATCGCGATTCAGGAAAACCGATAGAAGTAACTTTTCAACAATTTCCAGCCACACCCGGTGGCGGAAATGAGACTTCAACTAAATGTTGTAGATAACAAAATCAAGTCAGTGTCACCACTAAAATATATCAATATTCAGATAAATTCAGTTACATAATTTTACAAACTGACACAGCAATTATCACGAGAAAACTCGGATGCACCTTGCGAGTGTACCTCAGATTCATCGGCGGTACAGCGTTCAGTGCGCACTCCATTAACAAAATGTTCCGAGCATAGTCGAGAGAATAGTGTTGAGGAAACGATTTTTCGGTTTACGGACGCAATCCACTGCCGCCGGAATCCGGGGTCATGTGGAAAGCGATGGAGATTAAAGACATTGCAGCCGCTCTCGCCTTGCCGGATTCCTTGCAAGCTACGTAGGTCCTCGGACAGTATTCGACGCTTTCTGTCGTTATTCGTGCACCCTATGACCGAGCAATAGTGTCCCGATGACCGGGAGACTGTCGCCATCGAAGCCTGTGGCTCTAATTAAGTGTGCGAGTTTAAAACACAGAAGAAAGCGCGAACGAAGTTCTGGCAGTGCAGACACTCAACACCGGCCAAGCCTCTCATCCGGGACCTTCACTCTTTCTACACAATCAGAAAGGGGGAAAGCGCCGGTAGCCCTTTCCCCTTTTCGCTCTCGCCCTCTTTCAGTAAAACGGTCTATACATGGGTTGCACGTTACGTCATTCAAAGGACGCTCCGATGACCACCAGAGACGAGGGAAAGGAGGAGCTCCCCTCTTAAGAGGGCCCTCTTTTGTGCCTCCCGGATTTGCACAGGCGTCGCTATTCTCCTCCCAAAAGGTTAATCCGTTACACAAAATTCTTAGAAATGCAGCTTCCCTCTCCTCCTCTTACATGATGGCAAAATGTATGCGATGTGATGTTAGTGCAACCCATGAATGGCGGAGCGGGAAAC